TAACTGTGTCATCATTTTATCTAATCGTAAAAACTTCTATTCATTTCGAAATATAGTCTTCTAATAATAAATAAGTCTTTGGGGTTAGACATAGAAACTTTATAATTAAAAAATCATATTCTACACTTTCAACGTTTATTAATTGTATGTAAAAATTTTTACTTAGGAATATTCAGCGGACAAGAATTAAGGATTGACGATGATCTAAAGACCATAAACAAACCATTTAAGAATTATTGGGAAGTTTAAATAAGAAAGCTAAGAGTAAGTTTACGTACATGCCAAAATCATATATCTATTGAAAGCTTATATCGTATATTTATTTATTCAAAACTGACAACACTTCTTTTCTTAATTTAAATGTTGATTTCAAGAGTAAATTTGATAATTGGCATTGCTTTACCTATTTGCTATATAAATTTATTAATTTGGTTAAACATTTTAAGATGTAAATGTTGAACTTTATGATCCTTATACTACGTAATACTCGCTAGCTTATTTAGAATTATCTATACCGTACATATATTAGATCTGTTTGAACCCGTTGAAACCTACTGTAATATGATATCCTTAAAGATAATTAAAGTCAGATAGAAAACTTTATAATGTTTTACAGCAAGAGCATCCAGCAAATGACGATAAAAGGTCAATATTTAAAACAGGAACATTTTTTCTAAAAAGAATAATAATTGTAATTAGACGTATAAAATAATTTATTTTATACTTTCATAAAAAAAATAAAAGATTTTTGTAATGAGTGCATAGTATTATTTTTGTATTGTTAAATATCTTCCAAATTGTAATAATCGATATATGTGCTATAGCTTTGTTCAAAAATATATTTGAATTTTTAACGTATAAGCAATCATTGGAATTGGATTGGACGCCAAAAAGTTCAATGAATTGAAACGGGATGGAAAGCTCAGAACGATATTCTTTGAGCCATCCAATTTCGCAAATCAATGGTCGAATGTTTAAGGGAATGTCAAAATGATACAATTGCTAATTATTGACTCGTAGATTTTTTTCTTCCAAAATTTCCTTTCATGAAAAATTTTATTCATAAAACAATCTAGATCTGTTTGACCCTACGGGGTTGATTTTATTCGGCTCTTATAATTACGACCCTAACCTGATTAGAAAAGGGGTCGACCCGACCGGTTCGGAGCATTATTAACAGGATTCAATCATCAGAAATTCACATTTGGCCTAAATTTCAACCTAGAAGTTGCGACGATTCAAATCATGGAAATTACAATTTTTACAATTTTTGCAAAATTATTCCGTATTCGTCGGAAGGTTTACTAATTTACCCACTTCCTAATTTCCGGGACTAGGTTTTTTATCACCGGCGTGCCACTAGTAATATTTCAATCTTTATCATGTACAATATCAGGTTTTTTTTTGTGATGTTTATTTGTCATGAGAACGTGACAAGTAAACATAATCAATTATACTAGCCAATCCAAAAGTTAGATAAACCTCATCGGAAGATATTTTTAAAAAAAAAAAATTTTTTAATTTAGTAACAAAATTATATTATAACTGCATTGATTCACATTCAAGGGGAATGTTTAGTTATTTATTGCGGCCAGTTACATAAAAAAAGAACTGATTGAAATACTACTGGCCTGAAAAATAATATTTTTGCCCCAATAATGAATTCGTTTCGGAATGTCTTTAAAAGTTATTACCGCAAATTCAGGGTCACAGTGGTTGTGTTACGAAATAATAATTGCATGTCGTGTTAACATTACAACATCTGATATATGCAGCCAACTTGCATGATTAAAAATATTCATTCTGATTGAAATTACACGACATAATTATTTATTTGTCCAGAGCAAAAAAAAACGAATGAATTAATGCCCGCCAATAATATACTAGTAAATAGAGCGCGGACATTGTTATGATCCTGAGCTTTGGCAGTAAATTTGTAAGCATGGTCGCGCCGTCACGAAGTGAAATTCAAATTATTTTATCTTGTCAATACATAAATTTCTACTCCTAAATTAGAAATGATATTTTCGTTTATGTTAAATTAATAACCTTTTCTATCATTATATTTTTCTCCAATAATTCCGTGTAAATTTAAGACCGAAGAAATCTTATAAAATAGATGACGTGCATGAAATAGACTATTTTGATTCTGTAATCATATATTACGAGTTATTGATTACGAAAATGAATTAACCTTTTGTAAAATAACCTGAATATTTATCATGACTAACTACACAAATGCGTCTTCAATATCGAAGAGAACATATTGACTCTTAACGAAAAGTTATTTCAAAAATTAGCGCATCGGAATGAATAAATAAAGATATTTCGAAAATAAAGAAATATTTCAAGCGGCGGAAAAATGATGTAATTGAACAAGAAATATTTCTGGTGGTAAATAGTATCAATAAATTTTTTTGACAGTATATTCGGCAAAGAAATGATTTCAGCGACCATTTCATCAAATTGAATTCTTAATATTATATATAATCTATTTGATGAAGCAATTTTTTATTAGCGAAAGAAATAATTCTTTAACCAATAAAAAAAAACTTTCTAAATCTATCAATCTTTAGTTAAATGTATTAATGAAAAGATAAAAGCATTCTTACGAAGATATTATTACACTAGAGACGAGAAGGTTGTAACCATCCCTAATTTATTAATATGTTCGTAAATTGGTTAATTAACCAGTTAAATTCGACATTATAATTTGGCCGGAGCAGGCGAAATTTTCAAATTTTAATTCTTGCCGAAAATTTAAATTCGGCGTAAAATCAATTTAACCGGGCAATGTAAATTTTCTAATGTTTAATGAAATTTTCTGCTCATTTAAAAATAAATTTAATAAATATTTTCAAATAATAAAAATGATAATCGTGCTAAAAATATTATAAAGTTGAGATGAATAAAGTTGAATCCATTTTGTCGTTAAAAAGATTAGTCCTGGATTTTATCGACCACTACATATTATTTAATCACCAATGAACAATTACCACAATTTAATAAGAAAGAAAATTTAAAAGACACTCATCTCATCACAACCAAATATCGAACATTAATGTTCTATCGAGTATTTTTTTCAATGGTGTTATTGTATTTTTGTTGCTTTTTAATATATTTGTAACGTAAATATTGAATAATCTTTAATAAATATTGGAGCATTCTTCTTACTAAGCTTTAAGTTTGACACTGACTGGAATTTATCTAAAAAAAAGAAGATAAAGAATGTTATTCCAATCTAGGTAATTGTTTTTAAACTTTAAAATCATTGACTAAACCGTCCTTTAATGTATGCAACAGCAAATGTGCATTATGCAAGTTGCTCATCTGATAATTTTTCATTGATTTTATGTTATTTGCATTTGAAACTTGAGTCGCATGACTTTGAGATGAATGCTTTATATGAGAAGTTTGACGAGTTCTTCGTCAGAACATTACTTTAGACCCTTCGTTAAAATCGTGATATTAATGAACCAATGTCACAATCGAACTAATTTCAATTTTGTAACAAAATAAAGTAAATTGGCCTAGATTAATGTTTTCAAAAATGTCATTATGATAATCCCCCTCCATCGGTTATTATAAAGTTGTAATCGAAATTAAATTCTCGCCATGGAAATTTTCGGAAGCAAAAACGATTATCTTCTCAACAACTATTGTACTTGCTTAGCAAATTATGCGCTATTATATTATTAGAAACATGTTCTTTGATAAAACAAACCAGAATAGAACTATATTGATTTTTGGCGTAAAAGATTTTTTCTCAAAAGGGTCTTATTACAAAATAGCTGAATAATGCACTTTCATTAAGAAACAAAAACCTATGTAAAGTTTACCAAACAAAAGAATGACAAAGCATATAAACATATCGATAAACAAATATAAATCCACAAATAAAATTTATGAATTTGAGTAAAAATAGTTGTTCACAAACCTTCAAAAAAAAAGGAAAGGATTGACATTGTCGTTTTAGTTAAAGTTTATGCTCGTTAGTAGCACCATATTTTAAGTGGACTTTTTAAAACAATGCAAAAAGGACAAAAATATCTGTCACTAAAATTGCGAATAAACCTGAATTGGGATTTGACCGTTTTGTTTGGCCATATCCAAATGGTCAAACTTACTTACCTATTTATGTCATTTTCGCCATTTTGTCTATTTGGCCATGGCCCCCAAACGGCCAAAAATTTTTTAGCCACGTCCAAATGCCATGCATAACCTATACTTCAATGAGAGCTAAATCTTGGTTATGTATTATGACGTGTAACTTCAAAATTACAAATCTTTAAAGAAATGTGAATTACGTTAATAGATTTGAAACAACTATTTATTTATTTGTTTATCCTACCATAGATTAAGTCCTAATGCGTTTACTCCGGTTACTAATACGTCATATCAAAAACCGTTTAGAGTAAATTCGTTCAGCGCCTGATTCCCTTAAAAATAATTTAAATGAAGGTCATACATAGTATTTTGTAGATCATTTTTTAATCAATGACGTGATCCAACATTTCTTCGATTGAATGACATATTGTATTAATGATTATTTATACTTGAAAGTTAAATATTATAGCCGAAATTTTGCGGGCAAAAATCTTATAAAAATTAACTATGGAATCATATAAAAAATTTCTAAATTTATTATAAATCATATCAAATTGAGTAATTTAAATAATCCAATTCAAAAAATAATGATAAAAGCATAATATCTTAATCTTAACGTAGATGTTTGTAAATAATATTCAGATTTTTAAACAGATTTATCTTGAACATAGTGTAATTTAAAGACGAAATAATGAACGAAGGAAGTAAAACGATACAAAACGAAAGAATTTACGATAGAAAAATAAATTAGTTTCGATAGGAAAATAAAAAGGACTTTCGATGAAAAATAATTATTAATATATTATATAGAATATTTCGATTACTTTTATTAAAGGAAAAATTCGAAGATAAAAAAATAAAAACGAGATATAAGTTATTTTCGAGTAAGAATTCTAATCGCATAATTGTGAATTAGATGCTGTTAACGATTTTTCAACATCAGTCGATTTAGTCGATTTAATTTCATTTATCTCGGTTTTTCGTGTTTTTTCACTGTCTTTTATAATAATGTGATTTATTTCGTGTTTTTCACCGGATTGATTGGTAGCACTTAAACGTGCATTGGCTTCTTTTTGTAATTTTTGATCACGATCTATTTGATATTTTCGTTGCAATTGCGCTTTTTCGTCCGCAGAAAGCTTTTTCCACCATTCTGAGACTAGCTTACTGTATTTTGTCATGGGCATATTATGGGGTTTGTGTTTCATCATATCTTTACGATACATTATAAACATGTTTGGTTTTCTCCTCTTTGGGCCTTTATCTAGGGAAGATAATGTCTCGGGTTCAAAAAAATAATACATGTTTTTTTATGCCCTAAAGACAACAAATTGAAATTATCCACATTTATAAAAAATTTCTCGTTAAAATTAAGTTGATTTTAAGACTTTTTTGGTTAGTTCAATAAAGAACATCATTAATTTTTTGATGTATTATTTATCGAGTTAGATTCTCTAAAATAATTATTTAATGCTTTCAAAAATAAAAATATAGTTTTTATTGTCTAAAAATTAGAACGATGCTATAGGGTTATTGGTAAGTGATTTTTTACGCCTTTTTGATAAATTTGTAATATATAATTTACCGGTTATCTTCCGGATTAAACTTAAAAGGAATTATTTATTTTTATATAAACTTAAAAAAAATTTATTTTTTTTTTCTACTCTTTTTGCAAAGGAAATATTATGCTTTAACTACGACTTTCAATATTTCTCTAATTGGACGAAAAATAAAAAGGAACTCTTTTTATTAAATATTAGCATAACGCTTAAATAAATTTTACTAAAATTAAAATTTCAATAATTTTGAAGTGTCCTAAAAAATCATTTAATAATGCATAATGCACATCCTTAATCTTGTTTATTTTATGTACTGTATATTGGCTAAACTTTGACAGCTGAGCGACAAATAACAATAATTATCAATTTGTGAAATGTGAAAAAAATTATTATCTTATCAGTTGGTTTTGTTTGTTACAGACATAATCTGATCATTTTTTTAAAAAAAAAAAATGAATAAATTTAGAATTCATTAAATTTTTTGAATGAAACAATAGAAAAATCGAAAACAATCAAATAATTTATTATATTATTCACGACGCACCATATTGTGTTTCTATTTTATAAAACTTGTATTTTCTTTGCATATTATAATGATTAGTGTTGATGGAATTTCGCTCAAAATATTTCTTCATTAGGAATTTCTTTCATAATTTTAATTAGCTTTGTATTATTACTAAAATATTAATATAAAACAGTTGTATAATACATTTTAAAAATATAAAATAATTTAGGTGAGTCAGATAATTATAGCATTTAATTAAAGTTTAAATTTATTAACAATTTTCTTTTATTAAATGTAAGGATATAAATGATCATAATTCCAATCAAATTAGTTTTTAATAAATTAAAAGTGAAAAATTATAGGTACCTAAGTTAATGGAAAAGGTCGTCCTGTTCATCAGACCTATGTAAGCAAATTTAGTAAGTATAATTACTAGGAAATTGAATTAGAATAATAGCTTATTCTAGCAGCTTTTCATATTCAAGTTAGATTAATAATTTAATATAGTCCTATAGACTTTTTTAACAAATTTGACGCATTTTAAAACTATGCAACTTGATGTGTGTAAATCGGACCAATAGGATTATTAGTTTAAAAGAAAATTCATTATATCATATCATTATTTATATTTGTCAATCATATTTTTTTATTGATGCAAAGGAATAGAAAGAGAACTAAAATAATTACAAATTTATTTTTACCAACTAATTTTTTTATTTTAATATTCTTATTTCAAATTATGCATTCCTAACTAATCAGATAGATTCATTCGGTTTGAAAGTGAACAGATTAAGTGAGTAACGAATTGTTATCATCTTTGATCTCTTTCCAGTTTCCAGTTATGTGGGAAATATTTAAGGTACTGGAATTTGATCTTAATGATCTTAATACTTTAAGTTGCGATTGGTATTGATTTTGCCCATTATAATACTGTTTATTTCGATTGAAAAATATTTGCGAATTTAACATATTTATTTTCCGAATAATTAGGAGTGGTCTAATGTTAATTTTGTAAGCGTAAGGTCGTGTCAATTCTTTTTTTCTTCAATTTTGAGGGTTTAATTTTACATAGGAAATTTACAGTATCGATCAAAAAGACCAGAATACTAATAACATCTTCTTAATAACATATTGATTGTATACACATGAAAAAATAAGGTCTTGATGTTAAACCCCTTGTTCTTAATTAGTTGCAGAGATTTTAAACGGTTGTAGGAGGAATTATAACAATAATGATTTATTTCAACTAAAAAAGGTATAGTGGAATTTACACATTATTTGATACGATGACAATCGATACGCTATCTGGAGTATATGAGGTCTGCAGGTGACTTTAAATTATATTAAATTATATAATACATGCATGATTGCAAATTGTGAAAGTATTCTCGACAGATTGGTTAAGTCATCAAAAAAGTAACTTCATAAATTAATTTTATTACATTTCGAAAAGTAATAACTTCAATTTATTTGCTGAAAATGTCTAAAAAAATCACAAATATAATAACTTAAAAATCATTTTATTGACAAATAGATATATTAAGAGCCTTGAATTTGGCATTCTTATTTCTTTAAATGGTTTAAATTGCTCTAACAAGTCTAATTTGAGTTGATTTTAATTGAATCTTAATTATTTTAAAATGTTTATAGAAATTCCATTATATCAATCGTGTATTTCAGCTGATTCTTTTTTTTTAAAAAAAAAATAAATAAATAAATGAAATTAACCTGTTAAATAAATGCAAAATTTTTTAACTAATTTTAACGCGTTAGTTTATACATATATTTGAAAAATATTGTCAAAATTTCAAAATTTCGCATTTCACTAAATTCAAGATATAGTTAATAAAAAAAATATTTCATCCTTTAAATTTGAGTAAATAAAATTACAACTTGTTTTCGAACGTGCAATTTACTAGGACAAAGTTCTCATTTGATAAAATGTTCAAGTCATACTGAATATTTTAAATGATCAAAATAATATTGAATCTGTATCTACTGTATATATTCGATACCTATGCCAAGTTAAATGAGTTTGGATAAATACAAATTGAAAATTTTATAAATTTACTTTTCGGGAACCATTAATAATTTCAATTTTTACATCTGATTAATTTACATTATTTTAATCAGAATTTGCTCGACACTTATAACGTTAAGTAATTTGCTGTGGAGTAATTTTGTCACTGAAAGAGTTTGATTAAACTAGGATCGTTGATATTAAATTTTAAGCTATTAATTATATATATAAAAAAATATATTTAAAATATCATATTAAATGTAATAAGTATTTTCTTTAAATCACGTTGGAAGATACGATCTTTTATTTTGTAAAATCATTTTACAATGAAAAGATTGCTTTAAATGCGAATAACTAAATTCATAGCAACCTCATTTTATTATCTGTATTTCTCTGTTCATTTTATTAAAATTTTGGTTATATGAAAAGTTTTGATTTTATTTTATGACAAAAAAATCTAAAAAAAATATTTTAAAGGTTTATTAGTGGTAGCTTTAATTTTATCGACTTTGACATAAAACAATTACGGGATAAAAGAGGAATAAAGTGATAGTAAAATGATAGCAAAGAATAAAATAGAAATTTATAATAACCAGGGCTGAATTATTATTTCATGATTCACAGTCCACCAATCAAATGCATTCTTTGAAATTATTTACTGATTAGACGAAGCGAACATTTTTCTTTAAGAAACTATTAATAATCTTTACACAAAACATTTAGATTTATGACTGGCTAAGAAAATTAACATTACTCAATATGTGTCTTTTGAATTTTTTATTAATTTGATTTATTCACATAGAATACAAGGATTTACGATTTAAAAATTGTCTTTGGACAAATAATATACTATTAAGTCCTGCATTATCAATTAAAATAGCGAAGATATTTTTATTGGTATGGACACAGTAATATAAAATACAATCTTGCATTATTGAAGTAATTGAAAAGAATTTATAAAGTGTATTTTTATTCCAACTTTTATAATAGGAAATGTTAATATAATTATTAAAAAAAATTGCTGAAAATTTATTTAATTAAATACATTACTAATATTTCAAAAGAATAAAATATTTAAAAATATCAAGTACTTTTAAGTTATTTTATCAGCTAATATACAATTTAAAAGACATAATCAAGCATATAGCTTATCCCTTATTACCAGTATTTAATTATAGAAATTATTTAGGCTGTCATGAAACTATAGAATTTATCAAAATTTTGCGCATTCGTTAAGTTTGGTGCATGCAAATCGAATCGATAAAAAACTTATTGATGCTAGCAACATTACACGATTACAATACTTCAAATAAATTATAAATATTTTCGTTATACAAATACAAATAGAATCAAATGGGCGTTTTTGTTAATTAAATTAAATATTTGACATAATTCTGAGCTAATAGCAAGATTTCGATTAATCTTAAGGATCCCCATGTTTCAGATTAAACTTTAGATCTTATTTATAATTATTATATTTTTTTTTTCTCTTCACTATAATTTATGGGGTAAACAGCAAGATAATCTTTCAATAATAAAAAATTTTTTTAATGATTGTCTTATTATCGTTTTATTTCATTGTAGATTAGGCCAATAAGAAAATATGCAACAATGAACCTTTGTTTGTGCAAACTTTTGATACACTTTCCACAATAAGAACAAAATTTCTGAAGTGTTATTTGACGCCATTACAAAAAAAAATTTGAGAGAAGGCACTCTCCGTTTTGTACGACAAATAATACAATTGGTCGACTAATGAAATCAATACTTTTTGATATTATTCGGTTGGTTTTAAAAATATACATATCTACTGTTAAATTGTATTTTATTGTACTTCAATGAACCTTATATTATTAAAAAATAAACGGCATAAATATTGTTACAAGTGTCAAATGACGATATAAACAAAAGCTGTAGGTTACACCTGATTCGAAATTTTTCATGGCATGGGCTGTCACACGTGGAGTGACAATTGCATGAACGTGGGAAAATGGATAAAACCCTACGGCATTAAATATTAGCCAATACTATTACTTAAATTTTTATTTGTATAGCTTTATTTTTTCACCTATACATAAAGGAAAAAAAATAACTTCTATTAAAGGCGCAGAAATTTTGGAAATTTATTTTTTGTTCTTTTTCAAAGTTACTTGAAGTTAAAGTCAATGACATGTTTGAATGAATAAATCTAATTTGTTGAAATAAAATTGATGTATTTTAACAAAATTACAAATGTAATTTGGATCAAACTCTTTATTATCTAATAAAATCGAAAATATTGCTATTTCCACAATTAATTAAATCTTTTGCAAATTTGAAATCCAATCCTATATGTGTATTAACCAAATTTTTTAATAGTCAATGGTTCAAGCCATGCATTTTTAAAATATTCATCAGTTTTCAAATAATAATAACTAATTTGTGATATATATTTCATTGCTAAATCGACAAGCTCAATTCTCTTCAGAAAAATAAAAAAATAAAATTTTTTTTCTCTTCGCGCTTTTTCTTGATTTAGAAGAATGTTTTTGACAAAGATACAACTAATAGTCCGGCAATTTTCTTTATCTCTTAGTTCTAGTGATTCTATTTTTCGTTAAATGTGTATTACGAATAATATTTACGTACGTGTGTTGCTTCTCGAATAATGAATATAAAGTCCCATTAGTTAACTGTTATGATCTGCTTTAATAATTTTGTTTTTTAATAGTGTTTGTGGCATGTTAAATTTTCCGTTTGATTATGCAAGATGAATACATATAATCGAATTTAATATTCACCTTTATACGGACTGGAGAATAATTTCATCATTGGAATCTGGATCAACGGATTCATAAAAAAAATTAAATAATCAAAAAATGAATAAATACATGCATAAATATTGTTTTTCAAAAACATAAATAATATAAAAATTAAATGCACCAATATGTAATGATTTTACAATTCCAGTGTGCACATTATTCCTTCTTGATATAAATATATGCATCATGATTTATTTCGGGTTTGGAGATTTTAAGAAATTTTTTAGTATTTTACGTCGATAACAATAACATTAAATTTTCAACATGAAATATTCTAAGGATAATTTAACTAATATAGGATTAAATCTATGATTTCATAATTTCTTTGACATTCTTGCCGAAATCATTCTTATGAAGTTTGATTTGCAGTGGATTATTATTATTCGATGCATTTATGAAAAATTAATGTGATATCAGCATTTGATAGAAGTGTATTAAGTGATATCTATGTTGCAGGATTATGAAAATACATTGGAGATAATTGAATCACATTTTAAAACGCAATGACGTTTTGCGGAATTTAACACCAGAATACATTTGCTTCAAAAAAGCAATGTATAACATAAACTTGTCAAGAATCTGTGGTACACTATTAACGGTTTCTCCATTTTGTCTTACTTGAGAAAATGACGCAAGAAAAATAATCTGTACCTTCATCGCGTTTTAGATCAGATTTATTTATTTATTATTGTTTTGGGTAGAAGATTTGATAGTACTAGTACTATCAAAATCTATTGGCTTTTTCACCATCTTAATCTGAACCCATCATAACGAAAATTTTTACCCTTCAACTTTAGTGATTATTGAATGATCAAGCAACAGGTTATGAATTGAAATTTGAGGATCAGTTTATCGATGACGTCTACATGCAAATTAATGGATGTGTGTCATATTAATTCTGCTTTGATTAATTTATTCATTAATTCAACAGATATGCTAGCATCATTATCACTTTGGCGTTCGATTAAAAACTTTTAAAAATGTCTACTACAAAATGTAGGGTTTCGAATCAATTGGATTATATGACTTAATGATGAATTCCTGAATTTCTCTATGCAAAATGTAGGGTTAGTGCTTGATTAACACGAGTATATTGCTCAATAGAATGTAATCTTTTCAAATCAGAATTGAAATCGACAATAATATAAAAGTCTTGTTTGTGCCAACTTATTTGCCACACACTCCTCAGGATTTATAATTTTAAAAATGTTCAAAATTTCCTTCCCAATCTATAAATCATTATTCTCCTTACTTTCGTCTTTTTTTCTTTTTTTTTTAAAAAAAATCGAATTCTAAACATATTTCCTAAAAATTATAAAAAAAATGCGCATCATATCGATATATTTTTCTATAATATAAACAAACTTATATACTGTATGTATTAAGATATTTTACATAATTCTTTCAAATTAACATCTGATTTTAACTTTTTTATTTTAATAATATTTTACTAGAAGTATCTTCTTATCAATATTTTTAAAGATCTAATGTTTCTATACTTATTTATGTATGAAAAGTAAAGCTAACTTTTCACTCTCAGTTGTATTACATGTAAGTAGAATGATTATATGAGATTTAAATTATTTTATTCTAGATATTTAGACATATAACTAGATTTCATCTTCTAAAATAAACCTGTTTTATTGAAATTAAAGATATCATTAGTATCATAATTCTTTAGAATGCTACAAATTTCTTTATGTATTACATTAAGCAGCATATTTGCAGCTTTATTATATATATTATATTATTTTAAGTTATACCATTTTTTGAAATTGTTGATCTATCTATTAGGGCTTTTAAATTTATTCTTTTTAAATAAAATGCAAATCCTAAAATCTTAGTAAGAAACTATTAGTAATAACAAGATCAGCTTAGAAGATATTTTCTATCCAAAAAGTTAAAGTATTCTTAATAAAAGAAAAAGTTGTTTTTATTTACATTTTAAACTAACTTTATATGATTCAGTATTTATTTCAGGCTATAGTTCTTTTTCTTCAAAATATTGCTTTATTAACTTCATATTCATTAGCTAAGTCTTTTTGTTTTAATAATGAAGATGAAGTTTTTTTAAATAAATCTCTTTCTTTATATAGTAATAAAAGATTAACATTTTTTTAAAAATATTTATTAGGAGATTCATTTAATTTATTTATTTCTTTAAATTTATTTTTGGCATTCTTATGTTAAAGAATAAAATATAAAAAAAATTGCAAAATATGTTAAACAAAAAAATATTTAAAAAAATTGTGAAATATTATATAAAATACTTTCGTTAACTTTATTAGGATACAAAAACAATAAAATTTAAATACAAGTTTATCTTTTTTACTAAAATTGATTTTTGTAAATCTTTGTTATATAAAAAAGTTATTATAAATAAATGCGTTACAAAAATAAGCATTATGAATGTTCCACATTTAATATAGTATGAATTTAAGTTTAATAAATTTGATATAGCAAGAATTTTTTATATTTATAAATCTGTATCATATTAAAGATCTGTTATAGAATGATAATATGTTTATTATTGATAAGTAATTTATCAAATTTCATTCATTTAGTTATAAATTCTAAATTTAAAAAATTATTTTATAAAATTTATTATATCAAAATTTATTAAAAAAAGTATTGATTATATTTCTTAATAAAGAAAATACTTTAAAGTTTATAAAAGTATTTTTTTACTAAAATTTTTTAATAATAATATCTTAATAGATAATTTTTTAGTAAAAAAGTATTTTTGAAATTTAAAATTTTTAAAAGTTAGTTAATAATCTTTAAATTTTTATTTTATTTGATTTAATTATTAAATATTAGATTAAAAAAATTTAACTCAAATTTATATTGCATTAAAATTCAATTTGATTTCTTTTAAGAAATCCTAATAAGTATTATCAAATATTTTTGCAATATTAGTTGCTAGAAAAACTAGAAGATTTATGTATTTGACAAAATGCCAAAATGCTAAAACTTTACTAAAACTGTGTCAAAATCTTATAATTACTTATGCTAAATTATAGCAAAGCTTAAATTATCTAGTATTAATGTGTAATTTTAATGAATAGCTACAGTTAAATAAGATATTTGAGTGTTATTTCTTTTTAATATATGTATACTAGTCGAAATGATACAACTTGGCTAACAATCAGATGTTTGAATTATGTTTGAATTATGGCTGAATTGCAATAAATTGGTTTAATTCCTATTGGCATAATTCAGCGCCAATAAGACCAATTCGGATATAACAATTCAGACACAATTCAACCTAAAAATTAAGCTTAAAATCAATCTAAATTTAGCTATAATTCATATATAATTCAGCCAAAAATCATCCTAATTCAACCACTTAAATCAATTACAAATCAGTCACAAATCAACCATAAATCAGATACAAATCGGACATAATTTGCTAAAAATCAACCTAATTTAACTATCTAAAATTAACCTTAAATCGCAAATCAGAACTAACAAATTTAAATTTATTTCAATATATTAAATTTAAATTTTTATTATTTTACATAACTGATAAATTTAAATTCCTTAAAAAGAAACACTTTCAATATATATAAAAAATAAAATAAAATAAATAAATGAACTCAAGATTTTACCTTTGATTGATTTATCATAGTGTATTCCTAAAAAAAATAAGAAAAAAAAGGAAAATAATAAATTTTCACCCAAAAACTTACTAATGTTTTGCTTACCTTAATTTAAAAATAAGAAATTTCCTAAAAAAAACAAAAAAAAGAAAAGAAAATAATAAATTTTCATTCAAATAATCACCGCGATTTACTTATTTTAAGAAATTTCCTAAAAAAAATAATAAAAAGAAAAGAAAATGATAAATTTTCATTCAAAAATTTCCAACAATTTGCTTATTTTAAGAAATTTTCTAAAAAAAATAATAAAAAAAAGAAAATGGTAATTTTTTATCTAAAAAGTCCCAATGATTTGCTTACCTTAAAAAATTTTCTAAAAAAAATAAGAAAAAGAAAAGAAAATAGTAAATTTTCACCAAAAAATTCACTAACATTTTGCTTATCTTAATTCTAAGATGATAATTTTTCTAAAAAAATATTTATTATTTTTAAACGAGAAATTTCTTTAAAAAACAAGAAAAAGAAAGAAAAATTCATTCAAAAACTTGCTTCTAATTTACTTATCTTATTTCTAAATGAGAATTTTCCTACAAAAACAAGAAAAAGAAAAGAAAATCCATCCAAAAACTTGCTTCCAATTTATTTATTTTTAAAATGAAAATTTTCCTAAAAAAAAAAAAAAATAAGAAAAATAATAAATTTTCACCTAAAGAATGATTTATCACATTTCCAAAATAAGAATTTTCCTAAAAAAATGGTAAAAATCTTCAAGATTAGAAAAAAAATACAGAAAAAAGAAAGGAAAAAAGTTAAAAAAAAGGAAAATTTTTTTTCAGATTAATTCGAAAGATTTCGATTAATCCGAAATTTATTTATAATTGTTTTGGCCAATTGGATGATTGTTATATTATTTAATTAAAGCATTATTTCTATTGAATGATTTGTATCGTCCCTTAGGTGACGATGATTTGATCATTCAATCAGATGACTTTTCATCATCCAATTAGAATGATGATGTTGATTTGAATGATAGTGTATCATTCTTTTAGGATGATAGTTTGATTATTTCAATCAGACAATTTTGTATCATCTAATTACAATAATGTTGAATCGTTTAAATAGAACAATCATCATTCTAAAAGGAATGATTTTTTATCATTTTTAATGAATGATAGATTTATCATCCCTTTAGGATGATTTTTTAATTGTTCTTAATGAATGATCAACTTATCGTCCCTTTAGGATGATTTTTAAATCATTTAATAAGAATAATGATTATTGTTCCTTTAGGATGATTTTTTACATCATTCAATAAGAATGATAGTCTATCATCCTAAATGGATGATTTTTAAATCATTCTTAATAAATAATAATTTTATCATCCCAAAGGGATGATTTTTCAAATCGTTCAATAAAAATGATATTTTATTATTCCTTTGGGATGATTTTTTAATTCGTTTTTAATGAACGATGATTTTATCATCCTAAAGAGATGATTTTTTAAATCGTTCTTAATGAACGATTATTTTATCATCCCAAAAGAATGATTTTTTAAATTGTTTTTAATAAACGATGATTTTATCATCCCAAAGGGAGATTTTTTAATTGTTCTTAATGAAACATGATTTTATTATCCTAAAGTGATGACTTTTTAAATCGTTCTTAATAAACGATAATTTTATCATTCTAAAGGAATGATTTTTAAAATAGTTCAATAAGAGCAAATATGTATCATCCCTTTGGAACAATTTTTTAATTATTCCTATTAGATTTGTATCATCTGATTGGAATGATGTTGAATCATCTTTTTGGGACAATGATTGTATCATTCCATTTGGAATGATTATTTACTATCATATCTTTTTCCAATCAGACAATTTTTGTATTGTCTTATTAAACCAATTGGAGTTGATTTTTGGCTTAATTCCAATCTACTATAAATTAGTCATAAATATGATGGCTGATTTTTAACCGATTTCTGAATTTATTATAAATTGCCAATGAATGCCAAATGGCAATTTTTTGATTTTGACCAGTAATAGTAATCTATAGATTTATTCATAAGTCCTAAACTTGTAATAGTATTATTCAGATGTATTAAAATGTATTTCACTAAAACTTATCTATTATCATAAAGATTCACAATAG